AAAGAGTCTCCCAAAGGAAGAAGGGGGAGCAAAAACAGCAAAAACAGCAACAGCAAAAAACCCCAAGAAAATCAAAACCAAAAAAAAATCCACCAAAACAACAACAACAACAAAACTAGACTGAATACTGTAGTTTATAATCGCAGAAAAGGGAAAGTGGGGAGAGAAGGAAGAAAAATCTGTACCCTTATATGAGTATGACTTTAATGTCCTCTCTTTAGTTTCTTGCCTTCAAAGCTGCCTGTGAGATTTCAAGATGCCACTGTTGGTTGTTATGCTATACCTCAGGATTTAATTTAATTTTCGGCCTGTTTTGTTTTTGAACTCTCTTTCTCTCTCTACACCCCTGTTCTGGCCTTTCCCATATTTAAACAACAACAGCAACAAAACAACAGTTCAGAGCCAGCTCTTGGGCTGAGGGTATCTGTGTGCATGCGTGGCAGAGCACCCGCCAGGAGCGAGGATGGTGTCCACTCGCTCAGGCACCCCCTTTAGTCACCAGAATGGAGGTACACAAACAGTGTGTGTGTGTGGGGGCAATGAACAGATACCCCCCAAAAAAAGAGAAAATCAGAACAAAGCAAAACCAACAAAGTATATTGTCCACCTTTGCTCCAAGGTTCCTGCGGTGTTTTGCTGTGGTGTGTCTGCTCCCCAACTTGGTCTTGCCATTTGGTCTCGCTCAAGGTGTAGGCTCTGGGCCTCCGAGCACGGCAGATTCAAGATTTCTTATTTCCTCTTCAAGTTCCACTATCTATAAACCTTCAAACTTTAAAAATATTCCTATCTCTGTGGTTCCAAGTTTTGGAGCTCTGCCCGGGATCTGCTCTGCCTGGTATTCTGTCGTATGGCTGATGGAGGACTTTACTGCACCTCCACCCTAGCCGCCATCAAGCCCCACCTCCTCAATCCAATTCTGAACATTTTAATTTTCTTCACTTTCAAGTGTAATCCATAATGAAGACCTTCATCAGTAAGTGCGTCAAGTTGTTTCATTTTTGGCAAGCAAGATTGTGTCATCTGCATGTTGTAGGCTGTTAATGAGTCTTCCTCCAATCTTATACAATGTTATTTTTCCTACAGTCTAATTTCTTTGATTACTTGCTCAGCATACAGATTGCATAAGTAAGGTGAAAGGACACCCCACTACTGCACATTTTTGCCAGTTCTAAATCAGGCAATATCCTCTTATTCTGCTTGAATGACTGTCTGTTTGATCCATGTACAGGTCTTACATTAGCACAATTAAGTGCTCTGGAATTCTACTTCCTTATGCTTTATCCCTATTTTCTTATAATCCACACAGTTGAATTCCTTCGTATAGACAATAAAACCTAGGTGAATGTCATTCTGTTATTCTCTGCTTTTGTGCAGATCCTCTGTTATCAGCAATGATATCCTTCATTCCACATCCTCTTCTAAATTTGGCTTGAATTTCTGGCTGTTCTGTTTATATCTGGTTGTAGTTGTTTTTCAATTATCTTCAGAAATATTTTGATGGTATGTGATATTAATGAAATTGTTTAATACTTTTTACATTTTGTTTGATCATCTTTCTTTGACTGGGCATTCAATTTTCTTGACATGTATAATTAAGCACTGACAGGATTGTCTCTCCTCTCTCCATTTACATATATATGATTACAATTATGTAAATATTACAATGATTTATAATTCATATAAGTAATTACATGCATTTAAGGAGAAGTCCAGGAATACAAATAATGAGGAAAAAGTAGAATATGGAAAATATGGATGTTTCCAAGAGAAACAGCTGAACAACACTTAGGAAACATATCTTCAATGTCTACTTATATGTACTTCAGAAACACAAATTCATAGCATCCAATTTAAAATAATACCCTTTTAAAATGAGAATTATTGCTTAAGAAATGATGAATTTCTGTTTGGGGTGATGAAATGTTTTTGGTTATGCATAGTTGTGATAGATGTACAACAAGGTGAATGTGGTTGATGCTGTTGAATTACACACTTAATAACTGTTAAATGAAAAAAAAATATGAATGTTAGCATATTATTTTTTTAAGTATACATTGTTTAGAACCTAAATGAAAAAAATTAATTTATTCACAGTAACAATACCTTCATATGAAGAAAAATTTAAATCATTATTGCAAAATATAAAAGAATTCATGAGCAAATGCAAAGAAACATTCTTTACTTAGATACAAGTTCAATAAAATAAGATTTTCCCTTATCCTTAATCTGTATGTCCAAGACAATCAGGAGGAAAATAATGACAGATTTTCTTGTGTTTGTGGGATAAACTTGAAGAATCATACTGAAGTTCATTTAGGAATACTAATATGAAAATATAAGTGTCTTGAAAAAGAAAAACAGTCATGGTTGATAGCTCTATTTCTGGATGAACTTCTGAATTTGATCCCAATTATCCTCCTACTCTATTGTTCTATCTGTCTGATTCTGCACCAGAACTCAACTCATAAAGTTGGTTTTACATGTTTATATAAATTTTCCAGTAAAATGTGACTTTTGAAATGAAATAATGATAAACTATAAGCAGTATTTACCTCTTGGGATTTAGTACAAAAAATGTAGAGGTGGAATATTGGCAGTAGCTAGTTTTTAAAAGAAAAAATATGCAGCTATTAGTGGAGTAGAAGAGACGTGGCTGTGAAGTTTTTGTGATTAAGGTATCCCTCAAGAAATAAATTATGAAACATGCAGACAATAGATAAGACTGAAGAAAACAAAGCCATTTCAAAGAGAAAAAGAGGCTTATCTTAATGGATTCTGATAAATGGTCTTCACATATTTTGGGTATGGGCCGATTTAAACAATAAACCACCAATAGTACAAAGAACTAAAAATGTTAAAGTTGCCATTGAGTTGATTCCATGTGTGTCAGGAAGAAATGTGCTCCGTAGGGTTTTCAGTGGATACTTTTTCAGAACTAGATTGTTAAGAATGTCGTATGGGATGTCTCTGGGTAGACTTGAATCTCCAATCTTTTGGTTAGCAGCTAAGTGCATTAACTGTTTGCAACTCTCAGGGACTCTCAGGGGTAAATTTCAGGAATGAAGGGCAAAACAGAACTTAATTTGCAATTTTTAAGTTCCATCCTACTAATAAAATGTAGTACATTTTCTACATTCAGCCTCATCTTTCTCCTGTGGAGTGGTTGATGAGTTCAACCACAGTCCAGTGGTTAAATGACCCATTATAACAATGCTGCATTAAAAAACATGTTATGCTTTTAAAATTATATTTAGAAAAGCTCTATGAAGTCAAGTGTATTTACTTAAAAATATATTTATTTAAAATACTACTTAAATAACCCTTCAGCTAGTGAAGCTAGAAAAAAAGAACATTAGACTAAATTTTACTAGTATAGGGAGTGATTTCAAAGATAAATTATATATTTCTAATGTAGAATATGGGTATGAAAGAATTATTAATTTGATTAATAAGTTCAATAGTTCAATTTAATAAGAAAACACAGTAAATAATCCAGAGAAATCTCTGAAAAGTCTGATCAAGAATATATTTTAAAACCTAAATACAAATATTTTAATTTATAATCCAAACATATTCATAAGAGACTTAAAATTTGTAAAATAACCCTATATGCAAATTTACACTTAAACATTTAAAATGCTAAAGGAAACAGTTTACGTTTCAATAGAAATATATACTAGAAAAATGAAAGATAAAAACATTGAAGAAATCATCCTACAAATTATTAAAAAGGTATTGTTGTTGTTGTTAAGTGCCGTGGAGTCAGTTCCAACCCAAAGCTACCCTGCACAGGGTTTCCGAGGCTATAAATCTTTATGGGAGCAGAACGTCTCATCTTTCTCCCGCGGAGCGGCTGGTAGTTTTGAGCTGCTGGCCTTAAGGTATTAGATTACCATAAACCTATCCTCTAAATCCTAGATAGTATGGGGGGAAATCTAACAAACTTTTTAAATGAGAAAGGATTCCTATAGTATTTGCACGGCCTTTAAAAATAGAAAAGAATGGAAACTTTCCAAACTTATTTAATAAATTTGGCATAATTCTAACTTGTAAACTAGAAAAGAATAATATATTGGTTGTACATTTGAGGAAAGTACCCATAAATATACATACTAATCTAGTAAACTTAATAAAATAGTATATTCTAAACATAAGGATTTACTACTAAAACAATACGGAAAAATAAGTTTTTACTCCAAGAATGCTAGGATGGTTCAACCTTTTGAAATCTAAACATGAAGTTCAGAGGAGAAAAATATGTTTTCTATAAAAAATGAAAAGTGCTTTATAAAGTTCCAAACCCATTCCAGAATAAAATTCATAGGTTACCCATGGAAAGGATTTTCTTAATTTTATAGAGAGATATTATTAGAAGCCAAAAATCAGCAGACGACTTAATGATGAATGAGGCATGCCTTCTTATTGAAGTAATGGAAATGTATTGCCATTGCCTCTATTAAACATTGTTTGAGATTTGGAGGCCCTAACCACAGATCCTGGTGTGACACGGTAGGAACGGCACTGGACTGTAAACCACAAGGTCAGTCGTTTAAATCCACCAGCTGTCCCTTGAAAACCCTATGCGGGGTCACTGTGAGTGAGTCGCCTCAACAGTACTCAACAATAACAGCCACAACCAATGATACAAATTAGTCAAAAGTTATAGTTTTTAGAAGAAATACTAATTGTCAAAATGTAGCTGCAGCAGAGAAGAATGGAGACATAAAAGTTAACACTGTTTGTTTCTCTTAGGGAAATATGATTCCTTGTGTTTATTTTTCTCTGAGTTTATGCGTTTCCATTTTTCCAAATTTTCTACATTGGGCATATTATGTTTTATAGTCAGAATAAAATTACTAAAATTACCAAATTAAAAATATATCTTACAATATCACTCTTATGGGTAAGTTCAGAAAAATATTTTATTTTGTTTAGTTAATAAATTAAATAAAAAGTAATAACATGAAAGTTTCTGTTAATTTTAGAATGTGAAAGGTTTTCTAAAAGTAATAAATTGGGAATAAATGGAAAGTAAATATGTCCTTCAAAATAATAAAAATAAAATTTCTTATTCAGCCATCTAAGGAGGATCAGCTAATAAAAAACTAAAATTTTCTCCAAGATAAAAACTCCTCAAAATATAGTTAAAATAAATCTATTGATCTTCAGAACCTTATTTGACAAAGAAATGCAATAGTGTTGTATTTTGTGTTTTATAGCTTACTATGATACCAAATTTTATAACAACTGGTTATTTGTATCTTATTTTTTTTTTTTAAAAAAGGTTTTTGTAATGTCAATTAACATATCTATTTCTAAACCCAAAAAACACATTTAAAATGGAGCACTTACACTGAGAGCTCAAATCTTTTTCATACCCTAAGAAGTTAAATGCTGGTATTAAAGCTTGGCCTTTTCCAGTGGTGCTAACAATTGTTTCTTCATTTTCTAGGATCTGTAGTTTGATGAACGCATCTGCTTTGGATGTGCGCACCTGCACTGTAACAGGATGTGGCAATGCTCCTTTAACTGAATACCTATAAAGAAAAAGTCAACTATATAAGAAAGTATATTGAGGAAAACCTCAAGTCAGGCTAAGAAACTGATATAGTTTTTAGATATTATCATCTAAAAGTAACGCCACTTTGGAAAGTCAACTAAATTCCTGGAAATATTACAGCTAAAACTGACTTTGGTAAAAGATCCCAATATACTGCAGTAAAATGAAATGAGCACTATTGTTGTTGTTGTTGTTAAGTGCCATCAAGATCGGTTCTGACTCACAGCATCCCAGTACAGGGTTTCCAAGGAATAGCTGGTGTTTTTGAACTGCTGACCTT